CCCCAAAACCCCAAAACCCCGCTCTCAATTATTTAAGAGATAAGTTAGGAATGAATTAAAACAAGCAATTAACCTAACGATAAATTCAAATATTTGAATTATTTAAATAAGTTTGTAATATATTAAGAAGAATCAAATAACGTTAAAATGAGCTAAAATTAGGAAACTCGGCCCTTGCTACTCAATAATAGTTTGGATCCTAAAGATTCTCAAGACGACACCTTCTCTAAAATTGAAGTCACTAAATCTCTTATTTCGCTAGCTATCCCGATATCATTTTAAACAGCAATGGTTTATATGAATCAGGTAGTCAACATATACTTCTGTGGTTATGATCCAGATCCTGTTGTTGTTGCTGGTGCTGGTTTAGGTATCACATATATCAATGTTGCATTTATTGCCGCAAGTTTAGGACTAAATGGAGCAATGCAGTCATTAGTAGCATAATCTTATGGAGCAGGAAACCACAGACAATGTGGTGTTTATGTAAACAGAGCGAGAGTGGTTGTTTCAATATGGCTACCTATAGTGATACTCATTTCATTTTTTTTGGGAAGCATTTTAGCTGCTATTGGAATCAACTAGTAAACTGCGAATGTAGCATAAATATATACAACAAGAGCTCTGCCAGGCTATATTGCTCTCATGTACTTTGATGTTGCAAGATAATTTTTGGTTGCACTGGGGAAACCTCTCTTAAGTACCTATATTTAAGCTATTACTGGAATATTGCACGTTTTAATTTGCTATATTTCAATCGTGAAATATGAACTACCCTATTATTTCACTGCCTATTCAACGAGTCTATAAATTCTAGCTAACTTTGGAATTATACATCTCATTTTATATCTTGATCCCTAGTATAAATCATCCTGGTTTATAGGAGGTAAAGAAACATTTTAAAATCTTGCAGCCTATGCTAAGTTGGCTGTTCTTTCAGGACTATTGTAATGTTTTGAATATGCAGGATTTGAAATATTTTGCGTCATTTCTGGATATATATCTGTTGCTTCAAATGCTGCTTAGGTGATAATACTTACAATCTACATATCTTTTTACTAGATACCTCTAGGAATAATGATGTCAAACACTACTATTATAGGATAGCTAATTGGACAAAGAAAGAGTAAACTTGCAAAGGCATAGTCAAGTTTCATCATTAAGTTGAATAGCATATTTGGTCTTATCACTGGAACAATAATTATCCTTCTTAGAAAACAATTATCAAGAATTTTTTCTCAAAACGATGAAGTGATTGAGATAACTTCTCATACTTTGATATTTGCAGGTATATGTCATGCGCTTGATTTTATATATTCAGTTTAAGCTGGTTCTATAAGAGCTCTAACAAAATTCAATCATGCAGTTGTAGGAGGATTGGTAGCATTTTATGTAATTGCTTGTCCATTAGGGTGTCTATTTGCACTTTATTTAAAACTTGGTGTTCCTGGAATATGGTTTGGGCAAATTATAGGTTTATTCCTTATTGCTATATACTTTCAGTATCTATTAAGCTGGGGATTCGATTGGGATTTGATAACTTAGCAATCGTATGAAAGACAAAATGAAGATTTATAGCTTTAGTTGAAATAAGATGACTTATTGGTAAAGAATAATGATTTTGAAAGTACCAAAAAGGAAGATTATTAGGCTATTGAATAATAGGTTTAACCTTGAACCAACAAAAATTGTATTAGCAAAAGAAGCTGAATAAGATAAAACATTGATTCGGTCAGTTGATTTAATCTCTGAATCTTCCAAATTATTTAGTCTTAATTAGCATAAATACCTTTATATTAAATTCAACATTTTAGAATTAATCTTAAATCATAACTTAGCTTCTAATTTCTGATTTTCATTTTAATTTGAAAAGTAGAAAAGTAGGAATGATGGGGTTTTGGGGTTTTGGGGTTTTGGGG